CCTTTGGAACGAGCCCTGTCAGCAATGAAGAGCAGTTGGGAATTCTCAGAGACCACATGGTGATGTCAAGGCTATTGATATGTCATGATATCTCATGATATATCCATATATGACAATGATACGTGATGATACGTACGTGCATATATGCATGGAGGATCTAGTTCATGTAGCGAATCACGGGGTCATTTTCCAGAACACGGCCTCTAGCTTGGCGTTCTCAATGCGGCGTTGTTTGCGATCGCTCCATTTACGCGCGGAGAGGACACCGAGATCGCCTTGCTGGCCAAGACGAAGTCACCCAAGGTCATCTGGCCCATTTGGGATGGCCTTACCCCCATTGAGAAGACCGATGTGTTCCGCCCCTCGGCAGGTTTTTGGGATCCGGATACGGATAGATCATGGGTGTGGGGCAGAAAAAAATAGGTCCGCAGGAACACTGTGGTGTATGTGGTGTGGGGAATGGTGCAATGATGTGCCTTTTCAACCTCATGTGGCCCTGATGTAGTGTTCTGTATTTGCTTTTCTCGAGCACGACCACTTCTCGCAAACCTGTCAGAATGCCACCAACGACGCCGACGACGTCCATTACATCGACCTGAGGCTACCTGGTCCTCTACGAATACGGTGGCTACTACTCGGACATCGATGTGACATCCATGAAGCCCATCGCAGAATACCCCGTCCCAAAGGAGAGGGTCCCGCAGAGACTTTAAAGGTGCGGCAGTGGGCACATGTAGTATACATTTATTGTATGATATTACCCCGTATGGCGCTTATCACCCAGTAGCATGGGTTTGGTGCTTTGCCCACGGATGCTCATGCCAAGCAGCCCTACTCTCCTGCGCGCAGGATGCCAGTATGATCGTCGGCTATGAATTCGGGCACCGCTTCCCTGAGGATGCGCGCATTGAGCAGCTTGGAGGGGTCCAAGTGGTACAAACAAACTACAAAGCGGTACGATCCCTAAGATACCCTAAAATGGGAAAATGGGTCTCGAAAAGTAGATCACCCCTTATCACCCCTTAACATGTGTTGGACCTGTTCTATGAAGCTCTGGAGGTCCGGACCTCTAAAAGTAATGAAGATGCCAGGTGTTTCGCGAAGTTGACTGCGGTTGTGATCCTCAACCTTTGTGACCGATCTGGTGATTGTGACGACCAGTCAGGTGGTATAATAGATAAGGAGTGTTCATCCGCACATGTGGAGGATTCACGCGTACTGAGTGTGTTCTGAGCTGACATCTTTGGGCTTTTCGTGGATCGGAGTAACTGCGGTGTACCTTTACATGCACCCTAAGCTTTTAGATTGTAGCACTATACAGACTATGTATCACTTTCAGCGTGAAAAGCATGCGAAAATGAAAAGGCCAGAAGCCAAGAGGGGTGAACGTTCCTCGCTAGACAGGGGTTTTGACCTCATCCTCCCAACAGCCGGTCGCTCATCACGGTGATCGTCCTGTCCTGAAGCCGAGGAACACCCTAGCGCGTACGGAGCAGTTTGAGCAGTGGTTCCTGGCTTCTGCACCCAAGAGCCCGATGTTGAAGAGGCAGAGCTGAGACGTCTCCGAATGTCGAAGATGCTGATGAGAAGGGCTGGGGGTGTTTCAACCTAAGCGGAACTAGCATGACCATGATGTGGAGAAGGGACCTTCCAACAGTTGAAAAACCCGCCGTCGGTGTCTGTGTCCTGTCCGTTCCGCGTGTTTTGCACGGTCCCTGTGTCGCGTGTCGAGCGAGTGGGAGGTTCAGACCATCAGGCCGGACTAGAGGGATTATGTTCATTTTGCTTGGTGGGTTGAAAAACCCTGCAGAAACACATGGATCAGATAAACCCTGCAGAAGTTCTTTTCATTCAGCGTTTGTAGAACGTGGTCAGGAAAGGCTACTTTTTGAGGCTGCTGACTACATGAGATCAACCGAACCGGCACATGAGCTGTATGAATCTAGGCTTCTTCATGGGGCAGCTATGCCCATCCAAAGTCAACAGCAGTGGCCGAACAAACGGCAGGTGTTTGGAGATGATCCGGGAGAAGTTCCGATGGAAGATCCAGAGCAGCTGGACGACGCAGTAGATGGCAGAGTTGCTGTAGATGGAGGAGATAAGAGGGATGACCAAGCAGTGGGCCTTGGTGAGACCCCTGCAAAAGGAAGATGTTGGTGACAATTGTGAGTCATGAACCTGCTTTTTCGCGAGGTTCTTGGCATGGTTTCGAGTTGGGGGATCAATGGTCACCGTTGCAAAAGCGCATCCACGCGTACAATCAGCCACCCACGTTGGGGACTCGCATTGTCAGGGATGACCATCAACACAAGAGTGAGACACTCTGACAGACTCAAAAAGCACCCGGAGATCGAAGATGAACATCATGAACCCCTAAAATAGCCCTACCCATGCCTACCGAACTTCCTTTCTCCCAGCATTCCTGGTCGCCCTTGGGCACCTGCTATTCCCAAAAACTTGACCTCTTCCAGCGACAAGCCCCACTCGCTGGAGCCTCCGAGGTACCTTAGACCTCACTGGCCCTGGAACCTTCAGCGATGCCGTCCACGAGTTCCTGGAAGATCACTCCCCACACGAGGCGGTGCTGAAGGAGATCTCCTTCCGACAGAGCCAGGCGAACTCCTGCAACCGGCCCGGAGCGGTGAGGCTCTCCATTGTGGGATAGAGCGCAGCGCAGAAAAGGGCGAAACAGAGGAGGAACAGGAAAGAGCAACAGGAAAAAAAAACATGGAACAACGATGAAAAACACTAGGCCAGCAGGATGCAGAGCAGGTGGGGAAAAAAGGCTAAAACGAATTATACCATAATCAGTACCGTAACCGCAATTTCGAAGCACAGCCGCAGCCACATTGAAGTCATCACACAAAAACCGTCACATTGAAGTCATCACACCAAAAAAACGTCGCTGGTTGCAATCGAGCTGTTGGTGACCTCAATCGCTGCGCACCCAGGTGAGTTACCAAAAGGGCTGGCATTACCTGAGCTATCCCTCTGAAAGGATGTATGGGCGGCTTGATGAGGAATAAGAGAGTCCCAAATTGTTAATAGGACATCTACAGGAAACCCGTTTTGGGATTGAAAGCAAGGGTTTTCTGTAGATTGGAAGTGGCTGGAGCCTGGGGAGGGGTCACCCAGTCGCAGAATGTGACAGAAGGGGGGAGCGATTGAGTTCTTGGATGTGGGACGTGATCATTAAGATTGAGATCCAAGCTCCACATTCCAAGATTTGAATGTGTGCCAGTCTTGCTCCTGAAAAAAGATGAATGATTAAACGTATGTCTACATGGACCAGTTTCTTTTCTGCGTTGCCGGGGAGCGGGCGACGGTCAAGGGGAGCATGAGCGGGCTCGTTCGTTCGCGAACGAGCGAACGAGCTTAGGACTGGCGATTGGAAGATCTGGCTACTGGCTGCAGGTCGAGTTAATGCGGTCCCGCGGATCAAGGAGCCCGCAATAGGTGGCCGTCCTGGGTGGCGCGTCGTGGAAACACCTCCCAGCGAGTTCCGGAAAACGGCTGCACTGTGTTCCATGGGCGAGTCACTTGGTCACGGAGAATTCGTTCCTACCTGTTTGGCGTTCGTAGTGGCGTTCGTAGGCAGGAAAAGGACTGACTGATCCGTCACTTCGGTCTCAACGATGTTACGATGTTACGGAAGCAGCCCACTGCTGCAGCCTGCAGTCCCCTTGCCCTGAGGAGGAGGATCCAGATGAGGCATTAGAGCCGTTGTTGGTTCATCACTTCATTGGCACTTGGACACTCGTCGCTTTAATTCGGCATTGGCACCATGCGACCGGCTTCGTCTCTTCTTTTTCCCGATCAGCAACTTCATTGGCAGCGCGAAGCAGTCATTCAAGGAACATCCTTGTTTTTTTGGGGGGGGTTCCTGCCCGTGGGTCCCTACTTGTGATGGAGGGACGTATATGTTTAGAAACAGGTGCAAGATGTGCAAGTTGATTGAATCTGTGCAGCCAGGGAATTTTAGGCTGCTTTTGGTGCAATGGTGGGAAACCGTAGAAACATCCATCCAGAACCCATCCATATCCATCCATTCCCATTAGGTGCCTTGGTCAAAGCATTCACATGGTTCCTGGTGTTCTTGCATCCTGATCAGGTGGGCTAGCAAGACTGGTATATAATCGAAATTAATCGAAGACTTGCCCAGTGGATTGCGACCAGAAACTGGCCCTTTTCCCTGACAGTTCTGGTGTTTAATAACTATAGGCGTTCTGGCTCAGTACTACCGTACTACCGTAGCCCCCATAAGGCCATAAGCACTGTGGCGGGCCCGCCCGGACCGTGGCCAAGGAAGCCAGCACATGGGATTTCCCATCACTAGTGAGTGCTGATGACATGCACCTGCGGCCAGCCTGCGTATGTAGACTCGTGTGGAGTGGTGCATGATTGACAGAGTTGTTAGAAGGAACATGTGGAGAAGTGTCGGCAGGTTTGACACGCCTGTTGAGTGTCACGCTTGTTGCCAGGAAGAGGCACGGGAGGTTGTGAGGTTTGGATATGTTAGCTACGCAGGTTTTTTGCGTCATACTGTCATACATACTTGATTCAGTTCAGACGAGAATCAGATAGTAAGCATGAGTCATCACTGCTACTTCAGAATGCGAAGGGCTCCAAAGGAGGGCTTTCGCTTCCAAGATGAGAACAGGTCGAAAAAGGCTTGGGAAGAGTTGGACAAGTGAAGAGCTTTGGGATGCTTGGACAAGGTCTGGTCAAACTATCCAAAGTCTTAAACACCTTGCATCACTCACTAATTCTGAGGCTTGCACACCTTGTTCCATGACAGACAGAGATACACACAAACAAACGGAACGGCGTATATAGTATGCTATAGACGGAAAAAATACTACGCACGGAAGCCTGCAACCTCCCCAAAGCATTGCAAATCGGTAGCTAGTGGTAGCTACAGGATGCTACAGGTTCATTCTTCCTTTAAGCTGTTCTTGGCATCCTCCCTCATTCCGTGCCTCATTCCCTGGGGCATCCAGGAGCAGCACCGGCAGCTCCAGCAGTGAGCCTGGGTGAATGGGTGGACAAACAGACCAGAACAGAACAGAAAGAACAGAGCAGAACAGAGATAGACAGATACATAGTGATAGATTGGATTAGATTTAGATTGTACAGATTAGATTAGATAGATGGGTTGGATCTTCCACGTCCGTCAGTTCGGTTCTCACCTCGGCCTTTTTTCATCAAGCGAGGTACTGTGTGGACCTGAGAGCTGCGTCTCAAGAGATCCAAGGCCTGAGACGAGCGACCTGAAGACCGGGCAGAACGAGTAGATAGCGGGGGACATGACGAGTAGTAGCGGAGGTGCACCAGTGGTGCACCAGTGGTGCAGAGTGCAATGGAGTTTCAAAACTCAACATGTTCCGTTTGCTTGGCGCATGAGAGCTTTCTGGGGGAAATCACGGTGGATCAAGAAAGTGTTGTTCACCAGGCCCCAGCTGGTGCTGGATTCCCTAAAGCAAATCATTGATAATCCAAAAAAGGTCACCACAACTCATCCAGGGAGACCCCTGATGATTTGCTCCACTCTCCACATGTTTTTCAGCGACGTCTTGCACCGTGTGGCCCTCACCGCATCGTCTCGCCCTGCGCGAGGTTTCTTGGAAGCTGCCGAGGCAGAGAATGTGGAACTCCAACGGGAGGTCATTGAGATGAAGGAGGTGCTGGAGGCGCGTGGGGCCATGGAGTGAGCAACAAACATGAAAACCCAAAGTCCAAACTGGTGCTTAACTAGACTATAATGAATTACTGATTAGACATGATTAGACCATGAATCTAAGACCCTAATGACCCTAGTAGGCACCCTGGCACCCTTTTTGTGAATGTGTTTCTCCTCCTTGCCCAGGGGTTCAGTTCACATTGTGTTTAGAAAACATTAACATATCTTGTGTTTGTTTTTGTGTTTTAAATCTGAATCCTGTGGAAACCTGTCTGGCGACCCTTGCGACCTCACAAAATCACTTGGCTTCTTCGAGGCTCATCACCTCGAGAGGGCGTCGAGAGGGCCTTCGAAGCAGGTGGACTTCCAAGGCTCCGGCGGCGTGGGTATCGTAGCGTTCTGGCTCCTAGTAGTACGGGCAGGAGCTCCTGCCCTAGTAGCGTCCTTGCTCCTAGTAGTCCTCTCCCAAGATCTTCCATGATTGAACCAACATGATTGTGGCACCAGCAATCGTCACTAGCAGCACGACAATAGGCACAAGCTGCTACGGCCGAGCGTCGCTTGGTCTTCCAAGCCCAGCTGGAGAACGTATACGGAATGAAGTACTGTTGCACAACCGCAAAGGGCAGCAAAAACGGGACCTGAACATGGACCAAGTGCGTGTTCCTCTACCAACTCGGCCCTCGGCATGTTATATAGTGAGAAACAAAAGAAAGGTTCCATAAGTCCATGAGAAAAGCAGGTTGGGCTGTGGGGCCCCACCTGTAACAGTCCAAGATCCATTGCTCATACACTGGAATCATCATGGTAGTAGAATATGGATGAAAAGGGCCTCATTGGATGACCATGATTCCAGGGAGTGTAACTTTGGAAGACCCTGCCATCAGAGGTACCAGCCTCGCCGATGAGCTCATCGACCATGCTGATGCTGCCTCCTGGCAGGCAACTGAAGTGGTAGGTGATCCATCGAGGCTTTCACCAGTAATGAAGCTGGGCGGAGGGCCCGGACATGTGCAAGGAAACTTGGGTGTTTTGCCAAGCAAGCTGGTTGGGAAGATTGGCTTTTTCTAGAAGGTGGGTGGGTGGGTGTGGTGGTTTGTCAGTTTGTATGGCTCCAAGACGTTCACCAATGAGCAACAAGACAGACTTCACAGACAGTGGCCGCTTACTTTAGACCCAGTCACTTGACCCCGACCCTGACACACCCTGAGGAAGAGCCCGCATCTTTCTCGGTTCAGAAGACGAAGAGCGTCCACATGGCGGAAGAGGCCCATCGGCAGCACCCTCTTCGGCCCAAAGTCATCCAAAACTCATTTCGGCACTAGTGACGTAAATATCTTAATACCAGTCTGAATACATCTGTCTTAATGTTTCGTTTTTTTTTTGGGGGGGGTGATATATATAGCTGTATATATATATATATTACCTACACTTTGTCTCCCTTTTGCCCCACCACTTAAGCCTCTTCGTCCCGTCGGATCGCTCTGTCTACGTCGGATTGGAGGTGGGCGAGGACGTGCCCAGCCGGAGCCGGCGGAGCATGAAGCCCAAGCTGCGGCGGAGCAGTAGCAGCTTTGTCCAAGCAGGAGCAGTAGCAGATGGGATATAGGACATATGATGACACATCTGAGTATATTTATAGACAGGTGCTGGAGGAAAATTGAGGAAGATGGATAAATCATTAGAAGGGTGGAGAAGAGGCACATAAAGGAATTGATGTTATTTATAAACGATGTTCATCAACCCCAAGGAACAGGGGTATGGCAAACATAGACTTAGTGCAATCACGCTTCCTTGGCAGTCTGGAATTCCAGGTGCCCAAAATCCAAGGAAGGACTCCACAACAAGCCATGCAGAAGTGACACGTTCAGAGGGGTTCTAGAAAAACATCCACAACAAAATCTGGGTCTTCATTTCGGTTCTTTGTGCACAACTTAAATGATTTGGCATTCTCGGAAAAAATTGACCTTTCGGACAAATTCCCCCCCCACTGTGCAACCTCAGATTCATTGCGCCTACCACAACTGACATGGAACCTCAGATGGAACTTGGGAATACGCTTTTCCTCTACAAAACAAGGCGTGGTTTTCAGGTTCCATGTTCATCTTCCAGCGTTTTCTGGCAGAAGCCATCGACCATCACCTGCCGATCCATTTCATGGGACGCTACCCACCGCAGCTCTTGGTCAGCTCGAACACTAGCGAGCTGCGTTACTGACTGGCGGATCAGCTGACATTGCGTTTCCGCCTGATCTTATTTGGCACTCGCCATTATCCGATTCACGCCAAACACGTCTACTACTTCTCCATGCAGCTACTTTTGGGGTCTGGCTACAAAGCGACAGGCTCATCCCTATTTGCATGTTTTTCCATACGAGCCTTGGCTGACTTCAATTGAGCAATTCTGGAAGAGGGTTTGTCATACTTTGCTTGGAAGATGTTTTTTTTTTTGAAATGAAAACTACCCAGGGGGCCTCTTTGTTTAGTTCGAGGTATTGGATTTGTCGCCTTCCAAGTGACAATGCTAGTACGGATCGGTTCAGATCTGGCCAGCCTGTGTCGTAGAGTGACTCCTGGCGTTTCCAGGCTTTGACCGCTATGAAAACCGTTTCGGAACATGGGAAGTGGAGGCTCCAAAATGAGGTGTGCTGATCCAGTAGCGGGGTGTCACTGCTTGTGTCAGTCCATCGACGTGAGAGCGTGAAATTCTGATTTGGCGTTGGCAGTCAGTGGCTTGGGCCAGGCAAAGTTTACCAAAAAAGTGACCGAGCCGTCAAGGTGTTTGGCTGAAAGGCTCAAATGCAGTATGACTCAAGTTTTCGATGTTCCGGTCCGGGCAACCCCGAGTAAAGGCTCGGCCGTAGACACCCCAAGTGCCGCTTCCGGCCTTGTGGAAGTGGCATTTAGCTCCTCTCTGACCTCTCTGACTTCTTAATCTTCTTGGATTCACCGCTGATTTGCGGTGACCAAGATCGTTTGAAGCACCAAGGACCAAATGAAGCTTCTCCCCGCCATTGGCTTTCGCTCCTCGCAGTGCTCCTATGGGCGGCCGTTCTCCGCCAGCGCCACGTTGACGCGCTCGATGGACTCGTCGAGGATGGGAGCAGATCCGCCGCCGCGGACGGCGCGACGGAAAGGGGATGAAAGCTGTCTTGAGATCTGTGTACTTTTGTTGGGGGGGGAGGGCGCTGGGGGATGAGTTGTTTGTGTGGATGTATGTAGGAATATGTAGGAATGTGATATAATGTGATGCTTTTGGGGGGGCGCGCTGTGGATTCCAATCCCAAAAACCATCTAAAAGGAGGCCTTTTCACTCTGAATGGACCTTCGAGAATTGACTTTGCCAGCGAGGTTGGCAAGCAATGGGGATTCTCCAACCAAGAGGCCTGGGCCCTCCAGCCATCCAACAATCTGAACTTCTACGGAACAAGATGCCAGGGGGGTCAACGTGACATCTACTGTGCTGCTGTTAGCACCCACCACTGGACATCTCTAGGGTCAACCCCATATGGTTCACTTTGGTTGTGTTGACATCCCCAGATGTTTTCCGCCGTCATGAGGCCCATTTTAGCCTTGTGGAGTGGGCCTGCCGAACCTCCCTCGCATCTCGCATCATCTCATCCCGGCGTGCACCGACCACCAACCAATCAGCCCACATGTGCCGCGGTATTGCTTCTTTGAGGCCGGTCACCTGGCACCACATCCCACCAGTTCGGGCGAAGCAGCCAGTCCTGTGGCTGACATCGTGGTGAGCGTGGACGGGTTGGGGGCAACCTGGAATAGCTCGAATTGCTCAGCAGAGGCCGAGGCCGGCGCTGCTCCAAGCCTTCGAAGCCTGTGGCCAAGTCGATGCTTGGATGTTGTGAAGGTTTTGTCAGGTGATTCCGCTGGTGACTTGTTTAAATGTGTTTTTCTGTGTTTTTGTCGATGCTGAATCGTGAATGCCCAGCTTCGGCTTGCAGCTTGTGAGTTTTGGCGGGTGATTGGACTGAGGAAGAAACCGACGTGAGAGTCACATTACCTTGAACTTGGAGCGCTCCAAGCAGGAGATTCACTTCCTGGACTTCTTCGACAGGAGAGAAGACTCGAAAAAATTAAAAAAAAAAACATACATATATAACGGTATAGACCCCCAGAGAGATAGGAAAACAAAATCCCTTTCAACATGTCTTTGGGACTACTACATACGCAGCAAAATCAAAAAAAGACAGAACGAGGGCTAACGAGGGACAGCACATTCTTTCGGTCGGTGCTGGGCTGTTTAGCATCCACTGGCAGGCTTTTGATGCTGGATGCTGCGTAGCCTGAGAGCGGACGTCGATGACTGACTATTGAGTATAAAGATTATTTCTCGGTGTCCATCACCATGCGTGACAACCACAGACCTCGGGTTCTAGCCGTCCTGATATCTCCTGATTTCGAAACGGGAAAGCGTCACACCCGCCTCAAGCTAGACCATGCATTGACGACCCCACAGGGTAGTCGGTGAATTTGATCCACGCGAGCACCACTGTCGGCCTTCAGGATTGAGATGCAGGTAGTAGCGAGTTTTCCTTTGGCTGTGCCAACTGGGTAGCCCAGGGTGGCGAGCATATGCCAGTGAAGGCACTGTGGAACATCACCAAGCCATACAAAACCACTCACCAACTACCCTCCGGGACTCCGGCAGAACTTGGACCCCCAAAACCATTGGGTTCTGCAGCTTTGCGGCTGGACGAACACCTGAAAAAGGTGCCACTGGAGTTCCCCAGCGAAGGGTGCCCAAAACCGGGTTGTAGAGGAAAATGGTCCAAACCACGGGTGAGTTCTCAGGATCGATCTGTTGAGGGGGTTTCTACTCACCTGGTTTTCGTCAGCACGCTCTCTCCGAATGCGACGGGGGGGGTGCTGCAAGGAGACCTGGAAGACTTCCTGAAGGCTTCCGGGAGTCTCAGTGCCCACTGCACGAGATGGACATCGTGGAGGATTTTGTGCACTACAAGAGCGCCTACTATGGCACGATCATGGCCCCTAGGCATCGTTGACTTGCAAAAAGAAGGCGCGACTCTTGTAGTAGGTCCCGCTTGTTGGGGAGTCGCAAAGTCACACGCAGACAGCGCATGACAGCGCTAATCAGCTCAGGTGGGCAACCCTCCCAAAGCCTTCACCGTGGTCTTCGACACCGGCAGTGGACATCTCATTTTGCCCAGCTCCTACTGTCACAGTGCTACCTGCAAGATCCACCGAAGGCCTGGATGTGCTGAGATGTGCTGAGATGTGGGTTGGATCCAGATGCCGGTTGGCAAGAGGTGGTCCATCCAGAAAACCAAAGAAACAGAACACCCTCAACAAAAATAGGTACTCAAGCAATCTCAAACACCAGTTATACACAAGTTCCTCATTTCCCCCCCAGCTCCCGATGCCAAGTGCGGCAACATTGTTGGTACTCTGAATATTCCACGGCTGCGCGCGCTGGCAGGTATCGTCGCAGCGCATCATCCTCCGCGCGCGATATCGACGCGGACGGCTCGAGCATCTCGGGCGGCAGCCGGGATCAGCTCACGGTCTCCTTCGGCACCGGACAGATCAGCGGGGTCTTCGTGGAGGATCGGATGTGCCACTTGAATGTGCAGAGAGATCCCACGCAAAAAGTTGTGCAGAAATATGTGAATCGATGATTTGGGCTTTTGACCAAGAACTTTGCTTATTAAGAAGACCCTGACATAGGGCAGCTGCGCCAACAAATGTGCTGGAATGTGCCCCAGAGGGTCCACACATGGCTGCTCAGAAACAGGAGGTTTCCCAACGAACCTAGGAGCTCCCCAGCAACCGAGAAAGTGGATGACAATGAACTGATAAATAAACCCATTGAACATGTTTGTTAAGGGCTGCCAAATTTGCGAACCAAATAGAATCATCGGGGGCCTGGAAGCAGAACACGTTGTTGGCTGAACGTTTTAGTCGCCAAAGCATCTCAAACCGTGCGCAAACGGGGAAAATGCATGCTCAAACCGTGCGCAAAAGAGAGCAGAGGATGAGCATGCTGAGCATGAGTAGAAGCTGACCTGTGCTTCAGCGGGCCATCCCTTCAGCGGGCCATCCCTTGAAACCATCCGAGGTTTTGGCCAACGGAGTCCCACAGCACCTGGACACGGCAGAAGGGTCTACGTTCGCTGTGATCATGCCATGTGGTTCCCAAATGGGTAGAAACGGTGTCCAATACAGTCTTAGTGGGATCTAAATCTCTGTCATTCTGTATAGCTACTTATCTATCTATTTGGGGGTCTATAAGGATGTGTAGAGATGTGCAGGGAGATGAAATACCCTGAGTTCTGTTTTGGGATGTTATGTTTCAACACGTTTCAACTACCCAGGTGTATTACCCCAAACACATGGTCAACAGGCCCAACAGGTCGGTCGGTCCAAAACAAGCCCATTTTTGAGTGATGGGGACAATGGCAACAATGGTTGATGTGTCGGGGTTCATTGTTGTGTTTTTGGCATGACTGGTCACTAAGTGGTCACTAAGTGGTCACTAGGCCGGCATTTCTTCCTCAAAGCTGCATGTCTCCTTCGGTGGTGACACCGAAGGCCTTCCATGGCGGAGTAGTCACCTAGGACTCTAGCACCAACGTGCCGGTCTCCGGGGGCACCGAGAATTGCGCCACCATGCGCTTTGTTGCGGCCACAGCGCCTTGGAGACCACCGGTGGTTCAAGGCTTGGATGATGGAGGTCAATCGACCCGCGGGGTGGAAGACCCGACCCCTAGCTGGCCCTAGTTGAAGGACTCCAATGAAGTAACAGCTGAGTGAGCAGGACGGGGCTGGTGGGTCGGGTCGCATGTCGTAGCAACATGACGAAGCTTCACACCAAGGACCTGTCGCCTGATCCCTTTGCAGACTTGATCTTCGATGGGGTGCTGGGCTTGGGTCTTGCCCCTTGGAGAAAAAGCATCTCAAAACATAAGGGAGTCGCAGGAGTAATCCCCGGATAGTAATAAACTAGTTTCCTATTTCAGGTCTTGGACGGTCTTGGTTTCCATTGGCAAACTCATCTTCCAACAGGCTCCACCGGCCACTGCTTTCTGCAAGGGTCGCCAACTTTGTTCCTCCGCTTGCGTGAGGAGAGTCTTTCGCAGACGGCTTCCTTCAACTTTCTACAGGTGGCCTCGGCGATCACCAGGGAGAGAGGTAGCGATTGGAGCAGAACCTTTGGACGCTGGGCCGCACTGGGTAGAAAAACTGGCATCGAAGCAGACTAGGGAGTCCTTAAGGGGGGATATATAATTAATGGATAAGAACCTCCGTCTCTGTAGAGCACGGAATTCTACCGAGTGTTCCAGTTCATTCCGTTTGGCTCTTGATCTACCTTGCCCCTGCCGTGGGCGTGCCCTGCAAATCCGTTCCTGAGGCATTTTCTTGGCTTCCTCGGCAGAGGAACGGAGTCAGATCACTTTGGGCGGCTGGGCAGAGGAACATTTGGAGGAGCAGCTCCAGTGGAGCCCAGTGGTAGATCCCCACTTGGGCCATTGGCTGTTGGAGATCCAGGCGAGCCTGTGTCGAAGCCTGGTGATTGTGACATAGTGTTTGTCAGAGGCTGGTTGGTGAATCCAGATCCGATCTCAACTCTTTCCGCAAGCTTGTGTTTCCATTCAAGGACAGCATGGAAGTTTTGGAAAGTCTTGGCCGGGCCACGTGCATCACTCCACCCCGAGCCTTCTTGAGACACCCACAGTCCAGAGTTCAGAGCCAGTTTTCCCTGCTCCACACGGCATCAGAGCCCAAAAGAACATCAAAGGCTGAACATTCTCCTGGGCCCCTATCATCCTTGGTATTCCTTGGTCCACTTCAACTCCATCATTTGCCATCCATTAACCATTCATCCCCCAAGCACATCCTTAAAATTGCCGGTTTTATCTCAGATGTCCACCCACGCCCACAGCGCCGCCTTCACCCCCTTGAAGAACTGCGCCGGAACCTTCGCCTGCGTCGCCAGGAGCTCCGCGTCGATGGCGAGCCTGTGGCCTTCTGCCACCAAGGCTGCCGCGCGGTCGTCGACTCTGGAACCTCTTTACTGGCGGTGCCCGGCCCGTGCCTCGGACAAAACACGTCTTCACCCGTGGCGCCGGGTGCGACGTTCGGCGAGGTTCGATGTTGGAGCTGTTTATGTTTTGGGGGGGGAGTGTGTTTTTTGAAGCATCGTAGTGGACACACTTTTTAATTAGAACTTAACTCATTTTTTTGGGGGGGGAGCTGAGCAGTCCAAGCATTTCCTCGAGCAACGTAGTTGACATAAACGAAGAGCTTGAAATTGTCAGGCAACCAACTTTCCTAAGTGCTAAGCCTGGCAAAGGAGCTTTAGAGTCCGAGAACCCTTGCCTGTCACCCATTCTGCTTCCAAACAAATCCGCACACACACAAATACCCACCAAAAGAGTCCAAACGGCATGCTCGCTCATCCCGCCCATTTATCCCTACACATCCCTACACCACGCCACTCTTTCCGCGGCTCGAGGATCTTCCCGGAGCTCCACGAGCTTTTACGCTCGGAGGCGCCCTGCGGCCAGCGGCGTCTGGAGATTCAGCTGGATGGAGTGACCTTGGAACTCACTGGACGCCAAACAGCACACAAGGCCTGGGTCATGAGCCTTTAATCACAGAAATAGGGCCTAAGTAGCCCTTCCACAAGTCCTACCTCATGAATGACCAGTTGGTGCATATCTGGAGTGAACGGGACGCACGATGGTCAGATGGTCATGTTTTGTACTCCTTGAGCCTTGGGTTATACCACGATCGGTCCGGTAGGTAGTTAGAAAACCCATGAGTTTTATCAGGTAGTAACATTATATAAGTCATGATATATATATATACAATGATATGCCATGCGTTGCCATGCGCTCACATTACATTACGTGCAGGTTGCCGCCTAGCAATAGATATCCAAAAAAGCGCCATGCCGCTTCTTTAAAATTTGCTTTACTTTGAGTAATCCCCACCATGACATTTCAAGACAGACACGTTGACATCACCCTCGTTGTGTATTTCAGCCCATAGCACAAGTCCTTCAGCGCCAAGTCTTATTGTTTTGTCCGAAGCGAATGCTTTCATCAGGAGACCTGTGCCCAACTAATAATACAACTCAGATCCTCCGCTTGCGCGTTGTGGTTGTGTGCTGTGATTGTGTTGTGGTTGTGTGTTGTGGTTGTGTTTGTGGTTGTGTGCTTGTGATGGTGTTTGTGGTTGGGTGTTTGTGGTTGTGTGTGTGGTTGTTTGTTTGTGATTGTGTGCTTGTGTGTGTGTGGTTGTGTGTTTGTGATTGTGTTTGTGGTTGTGTGTTTGTGGTTGCGTTTGTGCTTGTGCTTGTGGTTGTGTGTTAGTGATTGTGTTTGTGGTTGCGTGCTTGCCATTGTGTTGGTGGTCGTGTGCTTGTGGTTGCGTGTTTGTGATCGTGTTTGTAGTGTGTTTGTGATTGTGTTTGTGATTGTGTTTGTGGTTGCGTGTTTGTGATTGTGTTTGTGGTTGTGTGTTTGTGATTGCGTATGTGATTGTGGTTGCGTGTTTGTGATTGCGTTGGTGGTTTTGTGTTTGTGCTTGCGTGTTTGTGATTGTGGTTGTAGTGTTTTTTGTGGTTGTGTGTTTGTGGTTGCGTTTCTGATTGTGTTTGTGGTTGCGCTTGTGGTTGTGTGTTTGTGATTGTGTTTGTGGTTGGGTGTTTGTGGTTGTGTTTGTGTTTTTTTTTTGTGCTTGCGTGTTCGTGATTGTATTTGTAGTGTGTTTGTGATTGTGTTTGTGGTTGTGTGTTGTGGATGTATTTGTGATTGTATGTTTGTGATTGTGTGCTTCTGGTTGTGTTTGTAGTTGTGTGTTTTTTGGTTGTGTGTTTGTGGTTATGTGTTTGTGGTCGAGTGTTTGTGGTTATGTGTTTGTGACTGTGGTTGTGGTTGTGTGTTTCTGGTTGTGTTTGTGGTTGTTTGGTTGGTGTTCTGTTGGAAATTGTGTGTTGAGGTCCGGCGGGGAACACTGGGCGCGGATGATCGTGGTTGAGGTCCGGCAGGGAACACTGGGCGCGGATGGT